GCACAAGCTGTAATAACAGGCACAAGCTGTAATAACAGGCACAAGCTTGCAGTGCAGCCACCCTTCACTGTTTTCCTTTGCCACAAGAAAATCTGCCACGCGGGCAGGTAAATGCTCCTTGTCTGAATTAAGAGCGTTTGTATGCAGCACTGCCTTCATCTGCATCTCCATAGAAACCTAATTGTGTATTTCTCTTCTCATAAAAACAGGATTTAATTCTCACTCAGCAAGTTCAGAGGCAGCAGGAACAAAACGCTAAAGTGAAACTATTACAACCAGCTTTCTTGCCCTCCACTTATTTTAGAAATCAATATAAGTACAGCACAGCTTAATTTAAATATCCTGAATTTAGTAGCAACTTGTCAGTAAAACCCGGCGTATTTGAAACCTTTTTGTTTTAATCAACTTTCATGACTCGACTGCTTCTGAGGCTGAGAGATTTAATTCAATATACAAAGCATACTTCTAACCCTCTTGTGTTCAAAATATTCTTTAAATAAATAATAGATCAAAGCAGTGTCACTTTGATGGCATCTGTAGTCCAGAGAAGCAGGAGACGGAAGATTAAATGTCTTCAGAACAGTCCTAAAGGATGAAAAGGGGTGAGAGAATGTGCCGTTATTTTGTCTAGATTTACTACTGATTACCTTGCTTATTTGATTCTTCCCTCTTATTAGATTCCTGCCTTCTAAAGAACCTTCGAGTTCCTATAAACTCTGGGGTTTTTAGAGAAATGGAAGATGAAAAAAAAAAAAGTAATTCCATTCTGAAATCTTAGTGGAATCATTTCCTATAGCTGTAGTAAGTTAGGATCACAACATAGCATAGCTCAAGATGACAAATAAGGGCAGAACCAGCTTCTGCCTGTGGTTTCTCCATGATTCATGGGGAAAAAATGCCACAGATTTACCTGCAACTCTACAAATATGGGATTTTTTCAGTTAACCAACCTTCCTTCTTTAAATATGGGCTCATTCTGTGCTTTGACAGGTGAACCGATCAAATTCAGAATAACAGAATGCATTCCATACTCTCAAATTACATCAAGAGATAACAGGTCCATCCCCTCCAGCCCTCTCCAAGTCTTCCAGTAGCATCTGGGAGAGAGAAAACACACTGGAGGTGAATCAGATGCAAAGAAGGTATGGAGGACCAGAAAGGGATGCAACAAACCAGGGGAGAGCGACACAGCAGCAATCAGATGGAGGCAGCTACGTGTTGGTTTTAATTTGATTAGCTGCTGTAGACAGGTGTCAGAGGCCTCCAATGCTGACTCAAGGCTACAACACTGACTTTTCCTCACTGTGCTGTAATGCTCCATACAAATAAAAAAGGAAGAAGCAACTTTCTGAAGTCAGCTGTGACACAGTGAGAGGAACTCTTTATAAAGCCAGAGAACAAGACCCAACAGTTATGTGAATTCAGGAGGAAGGGAAGAAAGCAGTGTTCTTCAGCAAGAAGTAATTGCACATAATGGCAAACTCACCCAAACGATACCAAATAAAGCTGTCCTAATACACAGTGACATATGATCAGCACTTCTGATATCAAGAAAAGTTGTTTCAAGCTCACAGCAAAAACAGAAGGAATAATCAGAAACATTCTGACGTGCTTCTACTTCCTTATTCCACAAAGATTAGACTCAGTCTCTGTAAGGACGAATTCACTCCGGGTCTGACTTTGCTGAGCTTAGTGAGACATGCACCACTCACATCACAGGGTACTCAGAAAAAGAAACTGCAACCCCACAGGCACGCAGTGCTGTAACCACTGCTCTGCTCTTCACTGAGATGATCCCCTTTGTCTTTAGCAGCCATATGAAAAGCACTGCAACAAATACAACTGATTACTTCTACGTCTCATGTTCATGCTGTAACCTATTGATCAGCAAGCCAGTGTTATCCCCAATTTAGAAACAGACAGCTCTACACATCATCAAATAAGTGAACAGGAAGTTCCACAGGAAGGCAGAAGGATCACTAAAATAGACAAGCAAGCTCATCCCACCTCCACATTCTAGTAGAGCAAACCACTTCCATGCCAAAAACCTTCAAAGGAGACATACCTACAAAACTGTGTTATGTGGCTCATCTAAATCAGACTCTAAACAAAAATTGATACAGTCCATTAATGATTTACCAAGTCAAATTTTCAGTACATAAGCACTTAGATGATTCTGGCTCTGCCAGTGCTTCCCCAACACTCCAGAGAACTGTTTAGGTGAATGTTTCTCTAGAAAATTAATGTACAGCATCCTCATTCCTGGTCCTAATATCTCTGGAAAAAAAATTACAGGAAGGAGTTTCACCAGCAGATCCCAAGTTAAGGTCAGAGAATTACTAAAGGAAGTGGAAACATATTTTATCACACACACAAAATCATATACAGCCATACACACAAACATACAGACATCACAACCGTGAGACCCTGGGAATCCTCTGACCCAAAGCAGATTCCATGAATTGAAGGACTGCAGCTGATTATCCTTTATGTTTCTGTGGTGTTTGTTTTTAACTTAAGCTAAGGTGGGAGACAGACACTGCTCTGGGTTGACATCATGAAGAGGAACTGTCAGAGGCCCTTAGCTTCATTGGTGCCACATGACATAAATTCTAACAGAAGAGAACTACTGTTCTACAATACAGCAAGCACTTCATCTAATAACTACTTCTGTCTCCAGGTTCACATAAGCTGTTTCCTGTCTCTCGCACACACAGAGAATACCTTAATTTTACATTGCACATAACATGCTGCTGGCAAACTTCAAAACCACAACACTTCCTGCACCTCCACCACAAAACAAGTGTAACGACTGCGTTCACTGCACCTCGTGCTATGCATTACCTGCTGATCCACAGCGCCCTGTGAGCCCTCAATAATCTTACTGCCTGCACTGAACAACATCAAATTCCACTTAAAGAGCTCAAACGAGGAAGATATTCAGTCAGCGTGTTGCTGTGAACCTGGATACACATTTATCATAGCATCCCCTGAGTCACATGGAACCCAAGAAAGCTCTCTGTGTGTCTCCCACCTGTCTGCAGCCCCAACACCACACGTAGGGCTCACAAACCGAGTTACCCGGTCAGGGGATTGCCCACAGCCCCACTGGGGGACGGACGGCCCTCCTCCCTCCCTCGGCCATTACCCTGTCCTTCATCCTCCAGCTCTGCGCCAAGGACTTGGAGCCCTCGATCTTCTCGCAGTGCCTCTTCTTCATGAAGGCCAGGGGCAGGTTCCAGTCCGTCAGGTCCGACTCATCCTCCTCCCCCAGCCCCAAGAGGGGCGACTGCAGCAGCTCAGACTCCATCGAGGCGAGAGCTCCGGGCACGGAGGGAGCGGCAGCCCCCGGCCCGGCTCGCGGCTGGGTCACGGCGGGCGGAGGACGGCGGAGCGGGCTGAGGACGGCCAAGGGCAGAGGGCGGCCCCGCGGAGCGCCGAGCTGCCGGCGGGGCCCGGGCCTCCCCTCGCGCCTTTAGCCCCGCGGGCTCCGCGCTCGCTGCGGCGGGAGCCGCGTCCGGCCCATGGCGGCTCCGCGCTCCCTCACGCTCCGGCGAGCCGCGAGCGGATCAGTGAGAGGAGAGACAGGAGCGAGCGGCGGGGAGCGGAGGACAGAAGCGACCCGCGGCGCCGGCAGCGCGACTCTTCTCAGCAGCGCGGCCAGGAGGCGGCCATCTTCCCCGGCCCACAATGCACCGCGCTACGGAGCGCCGCGTGGGACAAACAGCGCCGCGCCGGGCCGACCACGGTTGCCATGGTGACGGCTGAGGCTCCCCTCCCCCCCGCTGTAGGCCCGAGCCCTACCCTGAAAGCAGTTCGTCGGTGTTCTAAAGCTGTAAACAGTGTCTTGAGGTATCGATCCAAGAAAACACGCATAACTTGATTTATATCAACTTCCATTAACGCTTTCAGCGTGTTTACATTCACAGACACTCGACATGCAAAAGCCCCCATCACAGATCCCCAGGCCTGTCAGAAGGAACAGCAGCAGCCCTGCTCACCTCAGTGAGATCTGGACACTGATGGCGGTGATCAAAATGGGAGCAGCGACTGCAGCAGCCATACGCAGTACAGATGGACCTCACGGCCGTGCTGCTGCTAATCCTGGCTGCCGACAGCATTAGGAGCGTGTGCCCATCCTGCCAGAGCGTGCAGGAGTGCAAATACCTCTGAAGGGCACAGCTGTCCCTCTGTTCACATCAGCAAAGCTCGCAAGCAGTGGCTGGTTAAGACCCAAGTCAGGTGTTTTCCCTGATCCCCCAGCCTGTGCTGGGAAAGCTCTTTGTCCCCTGCTCTCTATCCCTTTATTTCAGGGCCTCTCTCAAAACGCTGTCCTGCTCCCAAGGGAACAGCTGTATGCCCTGCACAACAAACATTCCTCCAGGCTCTGTGCAGAGATTCAGGATGGATCTTTGGCTACCTCTGACACTTAGGTTTCATCACTGGGGCACTGCATAAGAGCTGGGGAGCACCAGAGATACCCTGCTGGAAAACAGGGACCTGGCAGGCTCCCTGCGAGCCTTCTGTAGCTCCACAGATGGTGAAACACTAGAAGTGCCTGCAGCCACAAGACACAGCCTGCACACGCAGCACTGGGCTGGAACATCGCTGCCTGCATGGCCATGGCATGTCAGTGCCATACTTCCCATTTCCACTCAGACCTGGGAGCCCCCAGCCCAGCCCACATGTGAGCTCCTGATCCAGGCACCAACACCCCAACCTCCTCCAAGAGGACGCTGCTCTGCTAATAGTGCCCAAATCCGTGTGGAGTGACAATCTCCATGCTAAACATGGAGTTTTTTTTTTAAATGAGTGATGAAAAGGGCATAACATTTAGTTTTAGTGACAGGGAATTTGCAAAATTTGCAGAGATCGTAAATATCAAATGAAAAAAATTATATCTGCACTTTATTAGATCACTGAATAAGCCTCATCAACATCCTTTTCTAAAGGACACATGCTGTGGGTCAGCAGGGAATCAGTCTCCATTTAAGTTCCTAGCTTTGATAGATATTGGGATGAGTTGATTTATTCAAGAACAGCACTGCCAAGCAATTGGCCCCATGGCATCTGCTCTCAGATAGCACAAATCTTCAGGACAGTGGGCATGGGCTCTCTTTGGTCATTTGCAGCTATATGCTTTAGTCAGAGCTACTCGCCTTATTTCAGTCTTCATGGGGCAAGGACCGAAGGGAGACATAAATAATCTTCCATTTATATCGCCATAAAAGTAGTTAGAAATGAAGCCTTTCCCTGAAGTTCTTTTCATCTCACACCACAGTTCAGTATCAGGATTCTCTCATTGTGGAAAAAACTCTGCAGCTTTTATTCAGGCAAAATATTATTCAATTTTGATAGACCACAGCAAGCCCCATGCCACTAGAGTACACCATCTAGGCTACGTACATGCTTCTGCTGGGCTACGTGTGGGCTTTCCTAATGTTCTGATTTAGTAACTAAACCTTAAAAACAAATATTTCTACAGTATCACAGGCTCTTAAATCCTCTAATGACAGACTGCTTGCCTTCTCCAGGCAGCACACTCTTGACAGCTAATTTCCATCTTAAAATTAAAGCAGGTGCTCCATTCCTACCTCAGCAGGCAGAAAGGACAGTTTATCCTCTTTCACCCTCTCTTACATATATGAAAAATGTTTTTTGAATATTCTTTTCCTTTTTTACACCTTCCTCAGACAAAACAATCCCCATTCCCTTAGCATTTCTTTTCTGATCTGATGTCTGAACCCCTCACCCTGTTGTTCCTCTCTCTTTTAGGCACTCACCTATTACCTTGCTGGGTTTGCAGTCTACTAAAACACACGCTCATGCTTACAGGCAGAACCCCACTTTCAAGGCATCATTCTAGGCTCTCATCACATCTCAAACCACTGTGTTTCAGCCCTGCTTTTATCTTTTGCAAAGCTGAACCCAGGTTTAACAAATCTGTTCTTGATTAGGGCAGCACTGTAAAGCTCTTGTTCTTAGGCAATCTAGGGAATAGAAACTCTATGTCAAGCAAGCCATGTTCACTGATGTCCTAAAGACCAAAATGCAGAAGGATTATCTTCTAAAAATACACTTTGAGAAATTTTTCCACCTGCCATTCTTTTTAATGAAAAAGTCTCCTATCTCGGTCCCTGTTGGCGCCCATTGTTCAGCCCCATTCAGCCAGCTGCTTCTAATTCCACTCTTTCGTGGGAAGGAAGAAAAGTACGGAAAGAAGAAAGTGATTCATAAACATCGAGAGATTTCATCTTTCATTTTCATCAGTCGCGTTCGCAGGTCACCAAATGAGTCGACATCAGGTTCAAAGTCCACGTGCTCAGCCAAAGGGCTGCTCTTTTGAAGGCTTCCATAGCAAATGCACGTCTGTGTGCCCATGCATGCGAGCACGCCTTCCCCACGCGCGGGCTCACAGCCAGACGCTGCTTGTACGGCTTTGCCAGGGCTGCCTTCTGCATTTAGGGCTAACAACAAGGTTTGTTTTAACACTTCAGTTGGGGAAGCTTTATATCCTAAAGACGGTAGGTAAAATATTTATTAGGAAGAATATCTATTTTTAACTAAGCCTGATATCGTTTCTATTATTTATGCATGCACACAGACTTCCCCGCTCATCTCCCTGCAGCAAATGTGAGTCGGAGACCGGAGGGTGGGAGCGGGAAGTGGAGCCCGGGGAGGATGGCACCAGGAGGAGGTGGGAAGGGGGTGCTTCTGTGCCAAGTCCAATACACATCAAGAAGTGATTCATGAGATTGACTCTCCATCTTGTAAAAGAATCCCAGTGACGTCCCTCTGAGAGGAAGAGAACTGGAAGATGTGTTCCCAGCACAGCATCCTCTTCCTCACTTGCTTCTCCATAGGTACACATGCACACAGGTAGGGAAACACACGCTGTGCAGGTGCTAAGCCTGCCAGGTGCTCTGTGTAGAGTTGTGTCCGTCAGGAGGACCCGATCAGGAGCATGATGGATTCCTCTTCCTCTTCCTCTTCCTCTTCCTCTTCCTCTTCCTCTTCCTCTTCCTCTTCCTCTTCCTCTTCCCTCCCTTGGCCTCCTCTCCTCTCCTCTCCTCTCCTCTCCTCTCCTCTCCTCTCCTCTCCTCTCCTCTCCTCTCCTCTCCTCTCCTCTCCTCTCCTCTCCTCTCCTCCCTTCCCTTCCCTTCCTTTCCCCTTCTCCCATTGAAAAAGGCAAAACAAATACTAGGTCAGAATTCTCCCCTTGCCCTTTCAGTGGAAGCAATGGTTTGTCATCAGGGGAAATATTTCACTGAGAAAAGGGGAGAGAGAGAAGAGGTGAGGTAGTGACAAGAAGCAGAAAAACTGCGGGTTCCGTCTTTTCTCTTTGCCACCACTGAACTACAAAAGGGCATTTATTGGTGAATCAGCAGCAGAAGAGTTTAGTTAATGTGTGTTTTTCACATTCTTGGATCAGAGGTAGCAAAGAAGGTGGAATTAATTTGGACTGTGAAGAAACAGCTGCATTTCAGCCCAAAGGTGGCTTCGGGTCACTGCCAAACGTAAAGATTTCTGCATTCCTGCTCCCCCTGCGAAGGCTGAAATGACCGCTCTGCAGACCAACAAGAACTGGTTGCTTAATGGAGATGTTTTTCTCATAAAGCCTGAGAGAAGCTGTGCTCAATACATGTGGGGATACAATAGATTAGATAGTTTGTAGGATGCGTTAATAGAGTCCTCAAAGCACTTCACTATCCGTCTCCGTGAAAGGCGTTACATAAATGTGAGCTCATTTGTTATCATTATCTCTCTTTGTCTCCTCGCAGGGTGGGTAATTTGCTGGGTTATCGGGCTACGTGTGTTTAAAAACACATGATAGATGTAACCTCAGCAGACACTCACTGGTTTTCTCATTCTTAAGAGCAGAAACGTTTCCTTCACCACTCGGTAGCTGCTATAGATCCTATCAGCTCTGACTCAGCGACAGAACAACCCCGGTGCACCAGAAATAGAAGCCGTGAGTTCTGCTGGCTCCTTCTGAGCTGCTGAAGCACACCAACCAAACATCCATTTGCTGATACACCTTTCTGCAAGTGCACCTTTCCCCAGAGCACAGACCTGACTTGACATTCTCTTTAACCGGAACGGAACTGCTTAATTAGAAGTAATTCAGCATTTCACAGGATGTTGCTGGGAAGTTCTCGTACTCTGCCGCCTTCTCTGCCTTTGGCAATCGGAGCAGCCTTGGGAAATACTCGGCACAACACACAGATTGCTTCAGTCAGAACCACAAAGGTTTGGTTTTATGATGAGCGAAGAGGAGGCAACAGCCAAGAGACCTGGATCCAACCAAACAGCTCTGAATGGAGCATGCAGCCCAGGCTGACCATGTAGTGTTCCCCACTCATGTCCTTACCCT